TAGGTGCTCCAGGGCTGCTTTATGTCTATCTATTCAAGTGTGTGTCCAGAGCAGCTACATGTCAGACTCAGCGCACATACACACGCCTAAGAAAGCTGGGCATAAACATAGCAGACCTGGTAAATCTTATATTGTGTATATATATCTACTTGCCTCATTCGTGGCATAGAAGCAGCACAGTGCTTTGCTGGTCTGAAGGATTTATTTATCAATACTTGGCATTGCTTTTGGCTGTGTGGCTTGTATTGTCTGTATGCAATTTACCTTAATTTTACCACAAAAATTTTAGGTTTTCGTTCCAACAAATAACAGTGTTAGTAGAATAACTGAACTATGTACGTATTTCCTATCTTAAATATCACTTATTTTTATCTCTGTCTGTGGTTTGTTTTTTTTTTTTTTTTTAATTATTTGAGCTTTGTGATTCAAGAGAGTATGCTTGAATTTATGAAGCACTTAAGCTTGTGCTTAACTTTAGCCTTGTGCTTATAATCAAGCGCATGTTGCTTGAGGTCTTGTTCGGAATCTAGGTCTTAATTTTCAGTAGACTTATTTATGTGAATGGAAAGGCATATTTTAAGAGGAGAAAAAGTGACAGGTAATCAGCACAAAGGAGAGCTAGTTCCAAAAGCCCTTAGCTCATTTACATGTGAAAGCTGAGCGGCTCTCTCTATTGTCGTAAGGAGAGACGGCAGGCACCCATGCATTTACCTAGGGCAGCATTTCTTATTCTCAAAACTTTATGAAGTTCTATTCTCCCATTGTTTGCCACAAAATCTCCCGAAGCTACAGATATGCCTTTCTTTGTCCCAGGAAATTCCTTTGAAGGTTGAATTGATCTTAAGGTGCTTAGAACCACCGTTTTCTCCTCAGCTGAAAAATGCTCCTCAGGTGGATTCAGGGTGCTGTGAAGAAAAAGCGACATGCATTCCTGCACAGGCAACACCAAAGACTTGCTATACAGGAAACTTACTGCAGACATCCTTGCATTGCAACTTTCCAACCAGACCATGTGGATTGAATGATTCATCTTTGCTCTCCCAGGGCTCAGAATGTGGTCCTTTATTTCCAGGCAGCAGTTAAAACAGGGTGCTTGATCAGCTCCACTGGTTTCTTTCTGCTCCCAAAACATCTGCTTCTGCTACTTGCTTCCTGATAATTAGATACACAAATAATAGTTAGGAACTGTTTTGGTTGCAGGGATTAGAAATCAAAATTTCAGTACTGAAGTAGGCCGGATTTCATATTACCCATACAAGCTTAATTTAGTTAGCACTTGCTCATGCATTATTTTATATCAGTGCATGGTATCACTTGATGCTTTTTCCTTGTATATTTGCCTAATGAAAAAGGGACTGAAGGACAACTTTATGGGACATCTCTAAGAGTTGCAATATCCCAACTTAAGTGTGCAACTAAAAACAGATAGCATCTCTCTACTTAATTTTGTACATAATAATTATATGCTACAATGAAGCAACTCAGCAGAAGAATAAATGTAAGAATTCCTTTATAAATAAGAAAACTGCCAAAGCTGAAACTGCAGTCAGAATATTAATGAAGGCTGTGCTTCAGAAGAATGTGAGTGATAAATGAGGTATGCTAAAAACAAACAGTAATGTATTGTCTGTGCTTAACGAGGAAAGTAGGAGCAGAAAAGTGCTGCTTAATTATAATGGTGCTGAGTTAATAATGGAGTAGAAATCCTAGCTCCTTCTAATTTGAGCACTTAATTTCTCAGTCTTAATGTTGCAGTAATGCTGTTTCCCAGTATAATTTCCTTACATTTATTTATTTTTAACAACTCAGAAGGAAAACAAGAGAGAGATATTGTGAACCTCCTGTAATGAGATCTCAGTGCTACTAACATGCCTTACATTTTCCGTAAAGGTGCTGATTACATTTAGAGTCACCTCAGCAGTGCAATCAGATTAACAGTTTACTCTTCCCTTTAGTGTCATTAAAGTTCTCCAAGTTTAGGATGTGCATTTGAAAATAATAATAATAATAATAATAATAATAATAATCCCTTGTTTTCTTATATGAACTGTACCTTATAACAAGCATAGCTTCAAAAATAAAAAACAAGTTTTGTCTAGGCACAAACCGTTTTTCCTTCTCCTGTGGGACTCTAAAGGAGCTATTTAAAGCCATGCGATCATACAATTGCTGACTGGGCTGACACAGCAAAATGCTTGCTTCATGTTTAAATTCTATTGCAATCCATAGAATTTGTGCTTAAATATGTTGAAAAGGGATGGATTTACGCAAGTGTTTTAAAGCAAGCATGTACCAGAGATTTTCGTAAGTGGGCCCATAATACAATGAATCATTTCAGTATTCAGACTGTAAATGTCAGGTGTAAGGTGACTGACTTCATTAGGGAAATTTTTAGATATAACTTTTATCTATAATCTCAAAGATGAAACAATACAATACTCTGTGGTCTGTGGATTAGCTAATAGTGTAAGTCATGTCTGTTATTTTAAAATACACATGCCAAAATTAAGAATTCTTGCAGCTAAATGTCTGAATGTACATTTTCTACTCTTGAAAATAGTTTACTTTTTTTTAGTCACTGAAGTATTTAAAGTCAGTAGGTCAGAGCTGTGAATGATATCTAAATAAATACAACCACATATACAGGAACTTAGAAACACATACAGTTACCTAACGCCAGTCTCCCACACTCCTGAATTTTCAGTGTCATGGCTTGCTTTTTACTTACTTGTGTGGTGTTTCCCAGTAATATAAGACTTGATTATTTTGTGATACTGAATCACTAAATAGGGTCATGTTCTGGTTGGCTCAAGGGCATAAAGCAATTCCTTTTTTTTATTTTTTTTTAGTTTACCTTCATCTATAAAAAGCTTTTTCTGTGTTAGATAAAATTTCTATTTCTGTTGGTCCTCCCCCTTGCACTCATTAGACATCTTCTGCCCTATGCATAAAACATTTAGATATTCTTATTTTCAGGAGATAAAAGAACATTTACATTCTCAGCCCTCAGTTCAGGTTATCATTTTCCTAATGTGATTAGAGGCTGAAGCATCTCCAGCATGAATGGGATTGCAGGATTCTAGGCAGGTCTTCTGAAGCTCTCTGGGGGGCAGGACCAGGATTTGGAACACCTGGAGCACCATGGATGAAGAAGAGTGAACAGCTTTCCTGGGAATGAACTGGAGTTGTTGATTATTGAGTAGTCTCAGCCCAAGTGAGCTTTCTAGCACTGGCTCTGAGAGCATTATGAGCATTACTTTAAATGTTCATGTTATCAAGTTGCCAGCTCTCAATATAACCTGATATGCATGCTATGCAACTACTGGCTTGCATTGTAACACCCTACTTGCTGCTACCACCTTTATCCTTTCCCCTTTGCAGAGCAGGGTTTACGGTGCCTGCAGAGCCCTCCTGCATCCACAGAAGTACTTTCGTACCCTTTGCCTTTCAAATGAGAGCACCCTTCCACTTTACGATGTGTTAAACTCTGTGAGGAGGAAAGATGAGGAAAGAAGAACATTGATCGGTGCTAGGTGATAACTTAAGGATCCTGTAGGGAAAATCCCATTGTCAGCTGCTGCAGTCTTTCTCCATTTGTCCAAGGTACAGATCCTATCCTCTGGCAGGACTAGATTATTTTGCATGCAGAGAAATAAAGTGGTTGCAAAAAAGGCAGAACACTGGAACTATGGACCTCCCAGATGCCGTAAAAGTCTCCAAATATTATAACAATGTCACAGTATTTTGTCATTGAGCATCTTTTCTTTGATAAGCAGAACTGTGACAAGTAAAGAAAAAAAAATATTGCCCTTTGCTGCAATCTCTTGTGTGAGTTAAGCAGCAGACTGGCAATTCTTGGCTGAAAGGCAGAACTGAGCTTCAAGTGTTACATAGCACTCTTGTGTCTTTGAGAACAAGAAGTGCTTGAGGTAGTTCAGGACTTGGTGGATTTCTGGAAATCTCTGAGACAACCTTTGCATTGACTTCCTGGTCCTAGTGAGTAATCCTGCTTCTGTTGCCATTCTCACTTCCCCAGAGGAGGGGGCACAGAATTTTGGCATGTGTGTGGCCAGAGTGCAAGGATATAGGTAGGTAGTGACAGGCTCTGGTGACCTGTGTAGTAAGCACGGTATGGCAAAGCGGGTCAAGTATCATTTGTAACAGTGAAATGAAACTTTGCTGATCTGCATATAGATGCAATAATCAGAAAACAAGACGTGCAACTTTTGAAATGTCTTTAGAAAAATGAAACTAATATAGCATGTGAGAAGCCTGCCAAGACGTAGAGCAGCATGGTGTTTTTACTCTGATCTGCAAACGCTGCCATTCTGAAACTACATCACCTCATCAAAGGGAGAAAGATGTACAAATTGCCTAATGCTGCTAAAGATAAGCGGGAGCTGCTCAGCCCCTGTCCACATTTTAAGTAAGCCGACAGAATGGTGCATAGTAGGCAGGCATGTCGAATATGCTGTGCCACAACTGGTGCCTTACTATAAGCATTATACCAGGCGTGCTAAATATGGAAACGCCGCTTATAGCCGGGAGCACCCACCCGGCTCCCCTTAGCATGCCCTGTGCCTGCCTCTCTCCCCCAGCCCGCCTGCCTGGCTCGCCCAGCCCAGCAGGCCACGGCCCCAGCACCCAGGACAAGGGCTGCCGAAATAGCCCCGCGGGACTGCTGTGCGTGGGCGCGGCAGAAACCACGTTGCGAGCGAGAGCATCAGTGCTATTTTAGAAACGTTTTTTTGTTTTTCTTGCTTCTCAGCGAATGCTGCCGGGGGAGGGGAGGAGAAAGGAAGGGAGGGGAGGGCAGGGCGCGAGGAGTGCTTGTGCCCTGTTGCTCGCCCACCCACCGGCGCTCCTCCTCACAGAAATAGGCTTGGCAGCAGGAAAGGGTTAATTACGCTCGAGGACGAGGGAGGATTGCAGTTTGAAAGACAGCGACTGGACAGCTGTGTTTGCTGTGGTATTTTTAAATGCATTAATGCAGGCTCCAATCACCCGGCTGCGCTTGACCTATTTTTGGCTCAGGCCAGCCATTGTTCTATTTCTGCCGCCTCTGGGCCACGCTGTTGTTGATTCAAATGCAAATGAGTTGTCACTGCCCAGGCCAACTCCAGCAGCGGGACCTGGGAACGGCTGCGGGACAGCAGCACGGCGGGGGGACCGCAGCCGGACCCCGGGGATCTGTTCCCGTTGGGTGCTTAGTGCGAAGCTGTGTTTCCCCACGCACACTGCCAGAAAGCACCGAGATACTTCTTTGATTCTTCATCCACCTGCTGTTGGCTCCCAGAGCACAACTGGTGAAACTCTGAGGTGCACAGCCCAGCAGGCGCTTCTTGCCCTCTCACTGCTGTGTAAAGTGGATTTTGCCTTTTCTCTCCTAATAGATACTTGTACAAATGCTTAAACATTGCTAATTACTGAAGTGTACTGTCTGACGAGTCCGGCTGGAGGAGGTAGGACGGCAGAGGGTCGTGGCTGACTCCCCTGTGCAAGTGCCGTGATGAATCTCTCGTGTAACTGAAGTGCAGACTGGTTGGAATATGCTGCAGACAATTTACGAGAGTGAATCGTGTTTTTCCTCAGATGGGGTTTCTGGACGTGAACAGCTCTTGGCTCAGCAAAGAATGCACAGTATGATCAGCTCAGGTAAGAGACAGCTCAGCACCTCAGCCTTGCCTGCCTACACTGTGACTTACTGAGAAAATACAGCCCATCACAGCAAGAAAACACCCCTCCTTTAAAGAACTGATGTATTTTTGTGGGCTTTATGTAAGTTGTTAAATAATTCTCTCTTATCACAGTATGTTAGATACTAACTATCGCGTTTGTGGGGAGTTTGTCTCCTTCAGCCTGCTGCTTTCCAGCAAGAGCAAAATGCTAACAACTGAAATATAGTTGGCATTTTGTTGGGTTTTTTTCTTCCCATTTATTTTGTTTTGTGAGTGCAAAATGGGGCTTGTAGTATGAGCTTATTCACAGAGAGAATTTCAGCAGCAGCCTGTATCAGAAAGCTGCCATTACAGCCCATCACAGTTCTTTTCCTATGTGTTTTTGTAAACAGGATTTGGTCTTCTTGTGAGTTTCCTTTCCTCAGGTTTACATGCAGAGAGATTTTTATGTTAATCCTGTTCTGTTTTCATTGTGAGGTTACTTTAACAAGAATGCTCTTAAAGCAAGACAGTCTCTTCAATATGCATGGCTTATCTTGCTATTTAGAAAATATTTTGGAACCTGGCAATAGTCAGGTAATGGGTCACTGAAATGTAAATTGGATGCATTTTTAATGAAGGTATTTCAAAGCTGATCTTATGGAACACTGGATGTTTCTGCATGTATTTGAATCTCTCCTTGGATTTTCCGATTTCTCTGTTAGCTGTGTTTGAGACATGAGGGTAATGTCTTAATGATGAATTAAGCCAAAATAATTGTAGCCATTCAGATGAAGCTTCATTTTGAAGAGGCTAAAAAAGTCGAAATTTCAGGTTACTTTCTACTCTACTGTGAATTAGCTGCTCTATATCTTTTCAGTCCTAGATTTCTCACTTTGTTTTTCGTAAAGTTGTCTTTATAGACAGCCTGTAAGTAGAATGTAATGTGAATTTTTACATGTATGATAGTCTTAGTTTATTGCCCTTTTTTTCTTCCCTTTTTCATATCTATTTTTAGCAAAATTTGCAGTGTTTCCCACCTTGTAAGCACAAATACACATGTAGATCACAGATCTCTTCAGATATTCCCTGTTTTGGTACACCTGTTGAGCTCATGTTTCTTTGCTTCTTCTAAAAAAATGTTAATTTTCCTGCTTTACAGATGGAAAACTTAAACTTCTACTGTTTCTTTATTAAATACAACTGAAGAGCAGGCTTATGGTTTCAGATATTAAACTGTGAATGATTGTGTCAAGTGGCAACATTTTTCTTGTTAGGAAAGTATTTAATGTTTTTAAACTTTATTATTAGTATTACTCAGTACAGAAAGTCATAAAATCTCATAATAACTAAGGAGATGAAAGAATGAAAGAGTGAGAAATTGAAGAGGTATTAAGTGCACATTAAATTAATTGTAAATATGTAAAGAGAATGAGCAGTTCAAACTTGCGATGTTTAACATCGGGGATTTTTCTCTTCCTTTATAAAGCTGCTGGGTTGATTTGTTTCTTTATGGATGTCTCAAAGAATTTATGGTTTCTTTATCTCCTTAAAATACATTTTGAACACCAATTGCAGCTCCTTTGTCAAGGACAAGAATCAGGTGAAAGAGTTGTTTACAAATATGGGCAATGAAGTTCTAGCTATGAAAGTGGAAAAAAAGCAGAATGTTCTCTGAAAGTGTTGCAGTTCTGCAAACTTTTATGTTGACTTACTGTTCAAGAATGGTTGCGTTTCCTGAACAGCTCAGCAAGTGTCCAGTGCTTTTATACTGGTCAGAGAGATAAGACCCACTGCTTCACCTTCCCTTCTATTGTTTTTTTTTTTTTTTTAAATAGTGTCTCAAGTTGAAATTATCTGTATGCAAGTGCAAATCTATTCTCTTTTTAAGTCCACTGTGCTAACTTGTAACCACCAAGTAATGTTGTTCATGTAATATCAATTTTCTCATTTCAAACACAAGAAAAGGAGGTAATTTTCTATATGTTTATAGCTCTGAGTTTTTCCTTGGTGGAGACAAGAATGTCTTGTAACATTTGATTTTTAGCTGATATTACCTTAGGCCTCTGTAACATATATAATTTCCTCTGTAGCACCAAGTAAAATAGTGGTTTTTTTTTTTTTTTTTTTTTTTTTGAACACAGTTAAGAAAATCGTCGAGGTAAAAGATGTTTAAATATATACTCTGTAAAGCACAAAATGTTCTACAGTGTTTCTGTTGGCCTTTGAGATACACAGCGAGACCACAAGTAGTTGATACTGTACGGAGTCTGTAGTTTAATTCATGTCTGATGAGACCACAAAGTCTGGTGTTGCTATCAGTTACCTTCAGTTCCTTTGAGATCAGAGTCTTACAGAATCAGTCTTGATAACTTTTGATGCACTGTCTCTATGCTGCATGCATACAGAGGAGAAAGGAGTAACCAGATCATAACTACGTGGTCTAGTGTTTGTAATAACTAAAACCAGTCACCTGAATTTTGCTAAGAGCACTCACTCCTTACTTAAAAGTTATCTTCACTTCATGCACTGCACAGATTAAAAAGTTGTGCATATTTCAGAAAAAAAAAAACACAGATACCTGCACATTTACAACATGCATTTTTAATATTCTTGAAGTCTTGGAATAAGCACAACTTATGTTGTCAGTGGGTGTTTAACTTTGCTAGTTCCCAGGTGCATGTATTACACAACTCTAAATTTAAATAGACTGGAGTCATCCCCAAAGAGGACCTATGCAGTGGCCACTGGAAACATTTTTGCAAACCAAAATGTCTAAGGTATTTCTGACAATAGCAGGCATACCAAATGCTTCTGTCATGTGAAAGCAGTTCTTCTGGTATTCCCTCAATTACTGCTTTGCCTGTCTGTCTCCATCCCTGCTTGTAAATCATACTATGAATGAGATTATCTGGATAGTTACCAATCAAAAGTCTAATTATGAATGGAGCAATCTTGATAGGCACTGACTCAAGAAGCTGTGTAATTTGCAAACACCTACACCTTATTGCAGAGAGCTGTTTCAGCTATCTTGAGAAGACTGAACTAGATATTCCCATATGGTACTGTTGCTCTGAAATGCAGCAGTATGTACCATGCATCTTTATTTGAGAAAATGATGCTTATCCATTCTTATTTGATACCATAATTATTTTTGTTTCAAGATTAAAAAAAAAAATCAAAAAACAACTTGAGTCTAAGTTTCTTATTTAGATAGTATTATTTACCTATGATAGTTCTTTAATTTTACCCCCAAGGTCACAACTGCCATACGTGCAATGCCATAACAGGTTCTAGCATTCAGGTCTCCCTTTCTACCACAATATGATTCATAAACTATAACACCTTGAAAAAAAAGCCTTTGGTTCAGCAGGAATGATTCCTTGGCAGGAATTGTTCACGTGTAACAAATAAATTACTAATTCAGTGCTACATTAATCAAACATATTTCACTTGCATGAAGGAGAATAAACGACCTACCCATCCACGGCATCTGCAGATCTGTGACTTTAAGGAGTGATGCCAATATTATTAACCTCTGGTGATTAAACATACCATGATGTTTTTCCAAAGGGTATGGTTGCTTCTTTCACTGTATTTTGTGAATGTACCCTTGCATTGGCCTTTCTAAATTCCACCTCAACTTTTATTGGGTAAGACATGCTCTGCCTCTTGCCCAAAGCAGCAGTGTTGAAAAATCAAGAGTTCAAGGAGATCTTGAGCTTAAAGCCTTGGCTTGTCACTAGCTGACAGGTGACCTGAGTGAGTTATATAATCCTGCTGATGTCAGCTTCCTCTTCTGTGAAATGGGGAAAATAATACCTGTCAGGCTCAGAAATCTTTGGAACAAAATGGTTCTAAAGGGAATATAACAATTCAGAGTGATTAATTTGATTGACTGTCCCTGGAGGTGCTCAGGACCAGGATGGATGGGGCCCTGGGCAACCTGGCCTAGTACCAGACCTGGAGGTTGGTGGCCCTGCCTGTGGCAGGAGGATTGGAATTTGATGATGCTTGGGGTCTATTCCAACCTAAACCATTCTGTGACTCAGTCATGATACACACTTACAAGATACTTGTGATTTCACAAATGGAGTAAGTTAATGTAGTTGTGGTATTTTATTCTCTGCACTGACCAGAAAATTCAAGCTGTGTCTCTTGAGTATAAATGGCAGAATTGGTGCTTGTGAGCATCATGTTATATGTGAGTTGGTGGGTCCTTTTTAGCTGTCTTCCCTCAGTAAGCCATGTTGTACAAAATTTATCCTATGCGTTGCATCTGTGGTGTGGTGGCATAACCACACATGCATGTTTGTACATGTGTATTTATATTGCCATCAGGAAATATTATTTGATATTTGTTGGCCCTTTATTTCTGGCCAAACGAAACTGTCACCTGCTCAACTGGTCTCATGGAGAGATTGCAACGAGTAAATTCATTTAAAGGTTGGTTTTTGTTTTGTTTTGTTTTGTTTTTTTTGAGGCACATGAAAATCAAAAATCTTGGAATATTTGCATTTTTGAATCCGAGAGTTTTATATTTACAGATAAAACTTGTCTTACATATGTGTTATCTCAGGCAATAATTCTTTGAAGTGAGGAAGGATAACAGAGAACGATGTTTTACTTTATGATTCTCTTTAGAGTAATGAAAAAATGGTGTGAAACAGCTCAATTCAGGGAAGTTCTAGGCAGCAGTCAGGAGAGGCTGTTTTCAGTACCTCTCAAAAGCCAGGCAGAAAAAGAGCTAGTTCTTCATAGGAGCTGAAGTATTTGGATTCTTTGTCATCAGAGAGTACGGCTTAGCCTTAACAATCAAGGCTATGAGAAGAGCAGTGTAGACCTTGCCTGGTGATGGGTTTCACTGACTTTGGGTGAAGGTATTGCTCAATCACATGTGCTGGACAAGGCACTGATTATGAATTCAGTTGAACAAAAAATGTGGTAAGGTGAAATTAAGCTGTTTTTTCTTATATGTGTTATTTGGGAAGACACTGA